AACCCTTAACAAACCCTAAACCCTCAAAATTAAACTCTAATACAACATAGTTAACCCAAACATAAATAATATATGAATAAATAATTTTGAATTTTTTTTGAAAAAATGGCATTTTTATAAAGATTTTTAAAATATGGTAATTTTGAAAAGTGGTACTTCCAAAATGACATTTCTCAAAAAATTTCAAAAAAGTTTTGGTTACGGTTAGATTATTTGAAATCATTTTTTTTGTTATACAACCAAATAACCCATAAACTAACCACACAAAGTTATATGAAGAAAAAACACTTTATGGGTAAATATTTATTTGGTCATGGTAAGATATAGAACATTATATACAAGGATCAAACAGAGCAGTATCCAATAATTCTCTGTAAGATAATAATGAAGAACAAATGTTTTTGTTTTATTATATGGGCCAAGATGTGAACTACTAAATTTTGGAAGACTCTCTCATCTTTCAAAATCAGACACAGCCGAAGATTGAAAGGATAAGGAGTATATATTTACTACTTCTTTTTCTGTATATGCTGTTTTTGGTTTCATATGAACAAAATTGATTATTGAGAAAAGGATATAACCATTAGAAACATTTATTTTATTCATCTTCAATTATTGCCTAACTTGATGTGTCCTTTAGGTTTTTAAAAACAAAAAAACTTGATGTGTCCTTTTAAGTGGCACATTGATGAACGATAAAATAGTTTCTTGTTGGTTTATGAAGACCGATTGTTTTTGAGTTTCCTCTCTATCAATTTGGTTTTGTTTGTTTAAAAATGCCAAAGTTTGGGCATCGAGGAGGTTCGGACGTGTGACACGTATGATGTAATGCCTTCCACCGCGGTACATTGCTGGATTAACAGGTCGGTTAAAAATATTAAAAGTCTGATCACATATTTATCTTGTGTATTGTATTCACTGATTGAAATTTAATTTAAACTACAATGTTTTTACCAAGAAAATTATAGTCTTTGATGTATTAATTTTGCATCTTATAGTTTCTTAAAATGTTGTTTTACAAAAATACAAACACAAATTGTTATATGTTTTATTTTTGAATATTCATTCTCTGTCAAATATATACTATATCTACGAGGAAGCAAATGATAAATTTTGGCTATTTATTTATTTATTGCTTGTGCACTCATCAAATTGAAAGATGGGAATCTTTGCATTTGTTATTTTTGCACTTTTTGTAGAGGTAAATTGAGTCTTCGTAGAGGTAAACTGGGTCTTATATGTAACTTCTTTTTCCAGAACTCAATTTCACGGCTTCTGAGGTTGACTTTGATTGTGGTAACTAGAGCTGGACAAATTATCCTTATCCGTTAAATTCGCTTTGGTTTGATTCAAAAAATTTGGATATCCGTTATGAATCAAATCAAAACAAATAGTAAAATTTAGTATCCATCTAAAGTGAAGCAAATCACATATATGGATTTCAAAAATCAGAAGATCCGCTTCGATTCGTATATTACTTATATATACATATAATATGGTAGATTTATGACATATATTTAAATATTTAGACTTTTAAATATTGACGAAAATATTTATAGTAAAAATAGGTATATATTAGATTTTTTAATTGATTTTTTTTTTCTTAAATAAAAACTATATGTTTTAGTTTTCACCATTTTAATCTTCTATTTTAATTCTTGTTTAAATATATTGAATAAAATTGGATAATTTCATATATTTATAATTAGTTAATTTAAATATTATATTAAAACAATTTGGTTTTTTTTTTTTAAATATGGTGTTTTAGTTATTATTTTTGGTTTAAAACGAATATCCGTGAGTATCCAAAATTTCCGCAAATATAGGAAAAAAATCCATATGCGGATATCCAAAATTTTTTGAACCAAAGCAAATCGGAAAATTAGATATTCGACAAAACAAATCGAATCACAAATACTAAATAGATGGTTTTTAATCTTCAATATTTGGATAAAGACTGCCGTTGACAGTCGTTAAAACACCGTTTTGCTTTGCACCCTTAGAGATTCCTCGATTCGCCAATGCACTTCATTATAACACCGTTTTTTAATCTTCAATATTCGTCTTAAAATCCAGATTGATAATGGTCGAATTGTTGGTTCTATCTAGTAATTCTGGATGTAGTTGTGCGTATTGCATATACTCGTATCCACAAACATCAGATTGATGGTTGGAGAGTCCGATATATATTGAAGGTTACCTTGATGTCAAATTGCACGTTTTTGAAAAGTATCGTGGTTCGTGTAAAGTGTTTAGCGTTTGAGACAGTAATGTATGCGTTTAGAAGTTAGAAACTTGCATGAAGCATATATTTTTTGGACATTTTTATTCACACAAGTAAGGAGCTTTCGAAGTCCAATGATTCTGGCTATTTTTTCAGTTTGGACCTAAAGCCCAAGTTCAAGCCCATTAGTACAAACAATCATACTTATCAACACATTCTCCAACGCTAGATCAATCAATTTGTAAAAAATAAACTTATCTTCAATTTTGTTACACGAAACCTAAAATGATTGAAACTTGGAAGACGAGATTTATTGTAATAAAAATATCAGAATATTAGTGAAAGTTTCTTCCACACATATTTAAGACAATTTTATCCCAAGCTTTAATATATCAAACATGAGACAACAAGAGCAAGGAGTAACCACCACAAAGCAATCATCTTGATTCTTAACTCAAACCTTAAAAAAGACAAAAAACCGATTAATTCGAACACAAACGTAACTCGTGGCTTACA